CAAAGTAGCCATTTTCTCCAGGGGAGCTGATCTGTGTCAGCTGGAGATCAGTTGTAAAAGCTGGAGATCCCCAGGCCCCACCTGGAGGCTGGCAGCCCTACCAAGCTCATAACACCTGCTTTGCTGTGATGTTTTCGGAAAGTTTGTCTGGCTGTTGTATGGGCAGTAAGGTCTGGATTTTTTCCTGGTCTTGCTCTCACAGCAGCCATTTTTCCTGCCCCAGTGGTGGTCATTCTTCTCCCCGTTATTGGGAGGCTTGTGTATGTGTGTGTTTTAAATGAGCAATTGGTGTATTGATATAATGGTGTATCAATATTACATCAGCAGTTTTAAAAAATCGTTTGGAAAGCCCCCCATAGTGCAGGGTGTGTGTGTGAGAGACAGCCATAGGTACTGGAGCAGGGGAAATGTTGGAAAGATTGTCATCTGGAAGCCCTGTTGCCATCACTTTGCATTCTGTAGGGATGTGTTGCTGTGTGGAAAAGGCCAGTGTTTCAGCCCTAACATCTCCTCATAATACTAAAATTAGAACTCATTAGAAATTATTCCAGTTAAATGATATTTTGACACAAGGTGACTTCTTGATAAACAGATGTGTTCAAAAATACATTTTTGCTGAAAGCAAAATTCAGAGTTCCATTATTAAGTCCTTCTTAACATTGGGTTTTGTTTTCTTCGGCTATTGCTCCTCCCCATGTTAAAGTGTTCTGAGAAGGTTTGAGATGGAGGCTAGAAGTCAGATTGCCCTGAGTCCATGACACAGGTTATAGATCAATTAGTTAATTAATTAAAGTGCATTTGGCTGCACATGTGAATGCCATTTACTTCCACTACATTATTTCCAATTGGATGTACATCCAGATACACATTAGGGCACACTGAATAATGTGTGAGAATATATAAGCATATGCTTGGCCTCATGCCAAATCAGACCTCTGATCCATCTGCTTTACTGTGGTCTATTCTGACTAGCCATCGCCAGGCTCAGGATGAGAAAAAGTCTTCCCTAACACTTGCTGACTGATTTCTTTTAACTTTCTGGGGAAAAGGTATTGGAGCCATTAGTGAAAACTATCTATTCCTCCCTGATTGAGAGGCTCTCCTTTGAAGGAGGCAGTTACTAGACCTCTGCTCAAAAAACTTCCATTGGCTACGGATGAGGTAGCGAATTACAGGCCAGACTCCAATTTAACTTTTATAGGGAATTGACAGAGTGTGTGGAGGCTGAGCAACTTCAGGGTTTCCTGGGTGACGCATCTGCCCTTGGCCCATTTCAATCTGTCTTCAGGCCTGGGTTTGGTACCAAAATGACTTCAGCTGTACTTGTGGACAATCTTCATTTAAAGTTAGGCAGGAGACAGTCTTCATTGCTGATATTGTTGGACCTCTCAGCAGTCTTTGACACAGTGGACCACTCCATTCTTACCCACTGGCTTGAAAATGGAGTTGGTATTAAGGGTGTAGTCCTTCAGTGGTTTCACTCTTTTCTGTCTGACTGGAGACTAAAGTTGCAGTCAGACAGGCTTTTTGTGCTGGCGTTGCTGCTGCTCCCTAATGGATTTAAAATGCTTGATCAGACAGCAACATCTGTATCCCACCCTGAACTTGTTGGCCTCCTGCAATCACTGCACTCTGGTCGTGGTTTTTTCCCCGACACTGGTAAAATCAGGTACCTTATGGTTGTTTCCGGCTTCACCCTGCATTTCTGCCTGTCTGGACCAACTCCTAGCAATTTGAAGCTGTTTAGGATGTCTGAACGTTTTCCTTGCACTTTCACCATTAAAAAAAAAGTTGGCAATGTGTGCATGATTGGATCACCACTCCGTGTGTTTCAGCTCTCTCCTGCCTACAGCTTTGTGGCACACGGCATAGGGAAACGGATAAATTGACAAGATGAGTTTGTTTCAGAGAGGGAGGGAGGGGGAGGTAGTCTGAGAACAAAGACAGTGACTCCAGCTTTGCTCTAAGCTTCTAAATAAAAACATCAGCAGCACACAGGACACAGGACAAGGCTTCTCTATTCTTTCCCTCCACTGTTTTTAAACATTTCCCAGAAGCACAGTTTCAAAAACACTACCCTCACACTGGACTTCATTTCCCAGCAGCCTCCTCCAGTAATCCCATTGGCCACCATTCTGCCAGGAGTTTGAAGTGCTGATTCCCATAAGTGCTTGTGTGCATGCTTGGAAGACAAATGATTTTTAAAAAGCTGCTTGACTGCCTCACTCCCTGGCTGCTGCATCTGATTGATCAAGGACGAGGTAAACGCGCGGTGAGGAGGGTTAAGGGGGTGAGTCTGATCAAACTTTCCATTACAAAAAAACCCTGGATCAGTTAGAACCAGGGCCACACTGGATCAAACCACCTGTCTTCAGTGGAGTTGCAGAATCAGCTGGATGGAATTTATCTTGTGGAGTGCCACAGGGTTCTATTCTCCTACCCATGCTCTTTAATATATATGAGGCCACTGAATGAGATTGTCAAGAGTTGAGTATCATCAATATGCAGATAACATCTATATTTCAGTAATATAGATATTATAATATGAATGTATTGCATTATCCAAGCCTCCAGATGCATTCATCTTGGTTCTGAACTGGTGCTCTGAGGCCGTGGTCAGGTAGCTGAGGCAGAACAAACTGAAGCTGAATCCAGACAAGACAGAGGTAATGCTGGTTGGGAAGGCTGGCATTTTAGAGGGACTGACTCCACTTACATAAGAACATAAGAGACGCCAATGTTGGATCAGGCCAAAAGGCCCATCCAGTCCAACACTCTGTGTTACACAGTGGCCAGAAATACCAGGTGCCATCAGGAGGTCCACCAGTGGGGTCAGGACATTAGAAGCCCTCCCACTGTTGACCCCCCCCCAAGCACCAAGAAGACAGAGCATCACTTGCCCCAGAGCCCCTATCTATACCTTGTGGCTAATAGCCACTGATGGACCTCTGCTTGATCACTTGTCCTAGATGGAGTGATGTTGGCCTGTCTGGCATCGACCAGAGCCTGGGCCTTTTGCATTGTGGCTCCAGTTGTGTTGAATGGGCTCCCTGAAGAGGTGATGAGGCCCCCCCCCTCCTTGGAGATCTTCAAGGAGGCACTGCAAGCCCTGTTTGCCAGGGCTTCTGAGGGGGTTTGAATGGCAGGCATCTCTGGGGGGGATTTGGGGTTTGCTTTTTATTTTTTATTTTAATTGTTTTTAACTATTATTGTAAGCTACCTTGAACCAAGGAAAGGCAGGATATAAATGTTTTTAATAAAACAAATGAATAAATAACTGGAGATACCAGGGAAATGAACCTGGGATCTTCTTGGAAAGTATGTGCTCTATCACCAAGCCACAATTGTACAACTACAGAAAAGTACAGCTGGATTGGAGCAAGGTGCTTGGAAACTGGGACCCTTAGGGCCAATATCTAAAAGATCTGGAGTATGTGAAAACCAAAGACCTATACAGAGTTTCACTGGCCCTGCAACTCATATGAAGAGCCCTTAATGCAGGTACCAGCCCCTTTGCATGCAGTATTTGCACACTTGTGTTGCTTTTCTATAGAATGCTAGCATGCTATCAATTGCTGGCTTGCAAATCATAGAATCATAGAGTTGGAAGGGATCTCCAGGGTCATCTAGTCCAACCCCCTGCACAGTGCAGGAAATTCACAAATCCCCCCCCCCCCCACTGCCAGTGACCTCTGCTCCATGCCCAGATGATGGCAAAAAACCCTCCAGGATCCCTGGCCTAACTGGCCAGGAGAAAATGGCTTCCTAACTCCAAAGTGGTGATCAGCATTTCCCTGGGCATGTAAGAAAGAAATGCTCAGTGCGAATGGGTTGCTGCACAGGATACCTTATGCAGGGCTGTGTGTAACCTTTCACAAGTGTTCCTCATGTGTCCTCAGTACAGACCTAATGGCTGTTTGTTAGGGTTGCCAGCCCCCAGGTCCCAGCAGGGGTTCCCTGATTTTGGGGTTTTTGAACCACCCCACCCCCAAACAGGGTGTCACCACACAATGTCCCCAACACAATGACGTCACTCCCGAGTGACATCATCGCACTGGGGACATCATGTTGTGGCACTCTAGTTTTGGGGCAAACTATGGTTTTGAAGGCAAAAAACCCTAGAATTTTCCTCAAAAACCAGAGTGTTGCATGCGATGTTGCCAACACAATGACATAACTTCTGGGTGATGTCATTGTGTCGAGGCCCCAGAATGCCCCTCAAATCCCCCCACCGTGACAGCAAGGGGACCTGGCAACCCTACCACAGGGCCTGCAAGACAGAGCTCTTCTGCTAGGGTGCCGCCACCATTATAGAGCCCTGGCCCTTGGTTTTAACATCCAGCCGCAGGAAGATCTGGAGCAGGAGGATCTTTAGAGAGTACGTTGAAATAAGCCATCTTGAGTAACTATCTTCAGCACTTTATGAAACTGTATTAATAAGGGAATTGTTTTATATGGTTTTATGTGGTTTTAACGGTATTTTATGTACTGACTGTGAGCCACCCTGAGCCTGCATTGTGGGGAGGGCAGGGTATAAATGTGATTAATAAATAAATAAATACTGCTAGTGGCTATATTTTTGGCTGCATTTCTGTAGAGCTATATTTAAAAATCAAATAACTTTCCCATTTTTTCATTACAGTAATCAGTTTGAAAACAATATGGCACCAACCAACTTCTTCAAGATTTTAAGCCCATTTCTTGATTTTGAAGGAAAGGATTTTTTTAACATTTGAGAAGACTGGTTCGATCATAAGGCTACCCCATTGCTTGGAATTAATTATCTTCATGTAAATATCACACAAATTGTGCTAATTACATATAACTAATCTGTGAACAGGAACTGTAGCCCTCTGGCTCACGGGAGCAAATCGCTGACCTCTTGTTCCATCTCTGAAAAAATTAAATGTTTTCTGTCAGCAGAGAAAATGTCCCCCTACCCCCTATTTTACATGGCAGGCTAGTCAGAGGAAATTCTGCCTTTGAGTCACTCACCCTACCTTTGTTAGCGCAAGCCATCCACTGGAGGGGAGTGACATCGTAATTATGTTGTCCAACGGAAAAGGTGAACACTCGTACCTGTGAAAAAGTGCACAGAAGTCTTCTGTTAATACAGGGAAAAGAGATAGCAAATTGATGACAGAAATCTGGATCACTCCCCTGGCAGAAGATTCAGCAACCCTTACCAGAAGAAAACAACTGCTTCACTGAAATGCAAGCTCATATGAAAGAAATCCCAAAAGGTGCTCATGCAAACAGCCCACTGGAGTTCCATGGAGCTAGGGGTTATTCTACCGTTAAGGTTGATAGTGCTGGCCAAGGACCTGTCTGCATGACTACTGGCCATGGGGTAACTGCCCCACCACTCTAACCCTACCATGTGCCAAAAACAGAACTTTTCAAATGGCTAACATTTATTTATTTTCATTTAATTTACTTATGTACTGGAAGAGCACTTCTAGAACATTATCTGTACTGCAGCAGCAGCTAGAACACCAGCATAAAGCGAAGCATCATAACTAATTATTATAACATGAATTATTTATTTGTAAATGTGTATCCTGCCTCTTCCAAAAATGCTTAATGTGGCTATGAAACCCTTTAGCCATTGATATGTTTCGCTAAAGGATGGTTCCCACAACCCAGGTCATAGAGGCAGAAAAATGTATGAAAATGCAGGCATACTGGTTCCCAGCCCATTACCTACTGGTTGTGCAGCAGCTACCATCTGTAAAAAAAATGCCTTCCCCCAGTACAGTTGGTAGTGATGTGCCAAAAGCATAGTCCCATGAATGGTGGTAGATACATACCACCACCTTGGTATGCGCTAGGAGCTGGTCTGTGTGCCGTTTTCAAGCATCTGGTCACACGCTCTCTGATTTTGATAAGGGTTCCTAATGATAACAACTCTCTCTTGCTTGCCTAAAATTCCAGTGTCTGTCCTTGGTTGTTCTCATGCAGACAGACTGAGTTTAGAAATATTCCACCTATACCCATGCAAAGTCAACTACCTGTGCAAAATAAAGCAGCCTGAACTCCTGTCTGTTCTGCAGAAACTGGTGTGGCTAGTGGATAGCAACAGGATTCCTCTCAAGTACTAGCAAAAGAAAGGAAACATTTCATGAACCACAAAGTCTAGTTTCTGCTTTGGTCTATGGTGGTCACACTTCACTTTCCTTGACTGTTCTTGTCTTCACAGAAACAGAAAGGAGATATTTCTGTTCTATTTCCTACATCTGAAATCCCTGATTCAATTGAATAAGAACATAGCTTGCAGAAGATATCAGAGAGTCACTTCTCCACACCCATCTCTTTTTTCTCTTCTGCATAAGAAGGGAGAAAAGAGATGTACATGAGCCTGTTTGGAGCCCAATTACTTGGGTACTTCCACCCAGCAGCCTGACATTTCTATATAATTTCTGCTGGACACTCTCCAAATCCCATGACCATAGCAGTGTTGACAAGGGTCCACCCTTTCCTGTAATAATAGTTTGTCTAAAGTTTGAGAGGAAGTTCTCTCCACCTTCTTTGCTAGCACCTCAAGGTCACTGCAGGTAATAAAGGCAGTGCCAGCATGTTAGACGCCCCATTAAAGGGGCAGTGGCTCAGTACAGGAGCAGACAGGCAGGAAGATCAACTGTCTAAATAGCTCACATCAAATGAGGCGGAATCCAGCAATAAAGCATGAGTTAGCCACTTCCCCCTGCCCCCGTGACTGAGCTGATGCAGGTCAGACAGCTGGTTCCTTAGCTATTTGGTCATGTTTCTTGACTCATTTATAATGTTCCCTGTGCAAAGAGCTGGGCAGGTTGATGCTGTCTTCCACCCTTCACTGGCTCATGCACAGATTCTAGCTGAAAAAAGCTCATCACAGGAAAAAAAAGCTGAACTATAGGCACATGATGACTTCACTTGTCCTTCTTCCTGCCATAGTTCATGCTTCTGTATGGTATATTCATTCCAAGAAAAGAAACACGGTGTGACAGGAGTATATGCACTGTTCTGAGTATTGTTTCTTGAAATACAGCCATTCTGTATAACATCAGACCTGTCAAAGGTTGAGACTTCAGAAGAAGAAGAAGAAGAAGAAGAAGAAGAAGAAGAAGAGAAGGATTGGATTTATACCCCACCCTTCACTACCCAAAGGTGTCTCAGAGCGGCTTACAAACTCCTTTTCCCTTCCCCTCCCCACAACAGACACCCTGTGAGGTAGGTGGGGCTGAGAGAGCTCTTGACAGAAACTGTTATTTTTCAAGAACAGCTCTTATCAGAACTATGGCTTTCCCAAGGTCATCCAGCCAGGTGCAAGCGGAGGAGTGGGGAATCAAACCCGGTTCTCCCAGATTAGAGTCCGCACACTTAACCACTACACCAAACTGGCTCTGGAATCTGAATGGGGAATCTCTTGAAACTTGTCTTTTAGCTACCAACTGAGTGTTTCCTGATAGGCCTTGTGAATCTCATCATTTCCCCTGCCTTAGCTCCCAAGCAGAATTTAAATCTGCAAGTTTAGCTGCCTTTGTCAAATCTGAAATGTAACCAAATGTTTTTGCTTTGATTAAACAAATCCTGACTTAGTGGTCACTAGCTACACTGGAAACTGGGCTTTTTTCCTAGAAAGGAGATTCTTCTTTATCAGCAACAACAGGGGTGAGATCATTGTGGAATTCCTCCTCTTCCCTTCACCCCCAGGTAGATTAATAGTGTCAATGGTAGCCTGGCAGGATGACAGAGTCATCATCCCAGCCAATAACAGCAAGGAATATTTACTGGCTCAGCTCAAGGTCTTTGTGGGCAGTACTCTCATCCCTGCTGATTTAACTTGAAAATCCCCATTTTGATTTTGCTTCTCCTTCCTCTGAATCAAATTTATGGACCCTTATTTTCATGCCATTGGTTATTTCCTGAATTTTTCCTATTAAAATGAATGCATCTCACAACTGTTTTATGCCAATGGTGTATTAATAACTGTGAAAAAAATAGTGAAAAAAGTGTTATCTCTCTACTTTCCCCCTAGAATACCACTAGCTTGAAACTCAAAAACATTAAGCAAGGGAGGATATAAGTTGCAGAAGGAGTATTAATACTTTACAAGTAGGAAACAAAATCAAGTCCAGTAGCATCTTAAAGACCAACAAGATTTCCCAGGGTATAAGCTCATGAGTCAGAGTTCACGTTGATGAAGATCCATCAGCCTTACATCCAGGTCAGACAGTGGCAGGAGTCAGGATGCCCTTTGCAACATCTGACTTGGATGTAAGGGATGATGGAATTTCATTCTATTTGTATCTAACAAAGTGAGGTGTGACTCATGAAAGCTTATACCCTGGAAAATGTTATTAGTCCTTAAGGTGCTAGTGGATATGGCTACCTACCTGAATAATAATAACTAATTAATAATTATCATATGGCATTGTGTGTAGTATAACCAGGAGATCCTAACACTGTCAGGCAGCCTGAATTTCTAGCTCTTTTAGCGTTATGCATCACTAGGTGGCGAGCTAGACTTATTTTTTTGGGCTAAGGGAGCTCTAAAAGAGCTGTGACTGACCCAAGGTCACCCAGCTCGCTTCATGTGGAGGAGTGCGGAATTGAACCCAGTTCTCCAGATTAGAGGCCATCTCTTTTAACCACTACACCATGCTGGCTGTCCACCTACCTGAAGCTATACCTGAAAAGAAATTCCTTTTGCTTTTAAGTTTTTGAGGTATAACATTTTGACACAGTGCTGTATTACATTCTGATATCAAATATATATGGCTTCTGAAGGAATTATAAACATATCTGTTTTTCTTGAAACTGAGCAAAATTATATTGACTGCCAGACATTTGGTTTAAGTCTCAGTCTTTAAACCTTAAATTTAAGCCTGTACTGAGTGAAGAGAAAACTGGATTCAGACCTTCTAGAAAGTTAAGTCTTGCTGCTCCCAGCCCTGGTTATACCGTGATCTCCCTCAAATCTTTGCTGCAGATTTCGAGGGAATCAAGTCTCTCTGTGTGTGCCTCTGTTAAGTAGGTCAAGACTCTGGTCTACAGTCAGTCACTCAGAACAAACCGCTTGGGACACAAGGGGAGATAGAAAATTAGCTTTTGCCTGCTAACTGCAGATAATAACTGTATTCTTAATATCTGCTAGTATATGCTGAGTCACAGAGCACTGCACTGCCAGGAAAAAACAACACTCAGTACAAGCAAACTCCAAAGAGAACAACATCTTAGGATTTGCTTAGCAACTGACCTTATAACACATCTGTAGCTGCAACATCTCCCGGAGAAGCTGGAACAGGAGTTTTCGCCATGAGTAGTACATGTTATTGTGGAGTCAGAGGCTGCTTCCACACAACAGCTATTCCCCGTGCAGCTTTCATTGCCACTGAAACCGCAGAGGCATTCAGAGTGGCAAAGGAGCATCAACTCCTTGCTCAGCATCCTATGACACCATAACCCTCACCACCACCACTACTGGAATCATTTTTCATAATTGTAAGAAATTGGTACTTGATATATTGTGGTAGGTTATAATGATCTACTCCGAATTCACAGCTATCATTTTAAAAACTAAGTTTCTAATCCCTTTATTTGTGGAGCTATAAGGAGAAAGGCGTACCTACTCAGTGAAAAGGGCTAGACACTTATTTTTCCTTCAGTGAAAGCTGGGAACTCAGTGATGGTAGCAGATGGACTGTTATAACATCACAGCAATATGTCACCAGCCAATTTTTAAAAAACCTCCCACAGCCCACTGGACGTAAGGAAATGGCTTCAATGGACAGAAGGGAGGAGGCAAGGAAAATGTTGCTGATATGGCCAGGATTTGCAGAAGTGTGCACCTTCCCAACCCCCTTCGCACAAAAGTATGCTTTGACTGTGATCTTCCCAAAAAGATCATACCAAACCAAGTTTGGGAAAGGTCATACCAAAGTGGGGGAAAATCACATAAAATGGATAATTAAGGGATAACATCATATGGCTGCTCCCCCCAAAAAACCCACTCTGGTTTGGATACCAAACCAGAGCAAAACCCCCATATGGAAGCTCCCTGGGTGCCCTCTGTTAACAAGACACTGAAATAGTATGGAGGAGTCCCATAGCTTAGGGTAACATTAATGGGGGCTCTGCTTTGCATTCCATCACCATATGAAATACAGTAGATGGGTGTGCAAGAGAAGGGATTTTTTGGTGGTGTTGCACAGCCTTGTTCACAGAGCTTCTGCTCTTACTTAATTACTTTTGCCAGGTCGGGACAGTGCTACTTCAGTGCCCCTTTGATGAGGGTAGTAATGAATGATTTCTACCCTTGGGCTTTATTTTAATTGTATTCTGGTCCGCTGTTCTGTCTGTAGATTTCTTACTGCATTCAGTCGGGAAAAAATATTTTAATAAATAAATACCATGTCAAACAACATGGTTGTAAACTTTGATGGCATGGAGGTTATGGAGTCAGAAGAATGTGTATCTCATGCCATACAAATAAAGCAGTGAATAGAATATTTGGGGTTTTTTTTACTTTCATGGGCTTAGAGTTGTCAAGAGGGTCCAAATGCATTCAGGATTCTGTGGCAAGCAAGAGCTCCAATATCCCCTATATTTTCCACTATACTTCATTTGAGGAGTGCAGCATACTGCATCTGCATGTGTACATGACAGGGTGGCAA